ACCCATCCAACGCCCCGGCCTTACCGGGGATGAGCTGGCGGCGGCGGTACAGGAAGGTCTGGTAGGCCGTGTAGTCGCGGTAGACGACGTTGAGGCCGATGCTGCGGCTCTCCAGCCAGTGTGCAGTGGCCAGCCCGCGGGCACACACCTCCAGCGCCCGCAGCCGCAGCGCCCCGCGCAGCTCCAGCCGCACCCGCCCGCRCAGCAGCTCCCCACCWTGGGCAGGGCCACCCTCCAGCTGCACCTCCAGAGTCCGCACGCGTCCCGGGGGCTGCATGGCTGCTGCCCACGCCGAGCCCCCGCCGCCTGCCTGGAGCTTTCCAGGGAAAGGARGAAGAGCAAAGGCTACACCAAAATGCCTGAATTTATCCCGGCTTCTAGCTGGCCCCACCCTGCAAGGCCTTCCCGGGGGTTGGACTGAGCCCCTGTTTTGCAGCGATGCTTCGGCGGTGACCTCATGTGCGTGAGGCTGGTGACGTGCCCGGGACGGGGCCRTGGTGACGAGGGACGTGTTTTTAAATGGAGAAAAAAACGTGACTTCATCTTATCTGTGAGTCACAGACGCCRGCGACGTGACACCGGGACGTGCTGGTGGCTCTGTTGGCAGGGAGGGGTGTCACACACCACTGACAGCCCTGGCAGATTCCGCAGAGCTGGGGAATCRGAGGAAGCCAGTTTGGCCTTCCCCGTTCAGGCATTCCTGGGGCATTGCTGGAACGGGTGGGAGAGGAGTTTAGAAMRCAGAGACCCWCACTCCAAAAGTTTTGCTTTCTGTRTCTGAAGTCACACCAAAACCTGCATGAAAAAGAAAGTGAATAATCACAGCGACTCCCRGCCAGCTGGTGCCTCCAAGGGTGATTCCACCACTTATCCCCGTGGCTGTTCTTGCAGCAGCACAGGTGGCAATGCCACCTCAGGGTCACATCAAAGTAGTGGGGCAGGCCTGGCGCAGATGCAAGTCTTGGTTACTCCATGAAATGAGGCAACAGAGGTGTTTGAATCGAGGTGTTTATGTGCTGGCATGAGGTGCCTTGGAAAATGAGAGCGCACGGCTCCTTTGAAGCGCACGTGGAGCAGAGACTGTCCCGTTCCTGGGAAACAGAGAGCCAAATCCACAAGGGAAAGCACGAGGCTCGTGGGCCCAGGCACTGCTCACACACAGACTGAAGCAGTTGGGAAACTTTCACGAGCTCTGACAGGGCTGGCTCCCGAGGAATCGAACCCATCTGCAGGAAAAAAGGCTGAGAAGAGCTCGTGGAGTGGCAGCTGTGCCACCCTGCTCACTCAACCCCCAAGGGAGGGGGTTGACTAGCCCCCACGGGTCCCTCTGGAACACACCTAGATCCCAAACAGAGTTAGTGCAAGCTCAGCAGTCAGGAAACCCACGTGAGYGAGCAACTCCACAAAAACACAGAGCTCACCTCCAGGAAAACAGCCCACTCATCACAAGCTGGGCAGAGCTGCCKCGCTGTCCTACTGTTTGCTGACCTTTGGTTGCAGGCCTTGACACCAAAATCCAAACAGATAATGAGGGAATATTCCATCCCCCACACACAGCCCCRGCAGTGCCTCTCGCTCTGTTTGATCTCCTGCCCTTCCTCCGTGCTTCCCCCTACCCCACCTGCTGTGTTCCACCCCGCTGCCTGCCCAGAGGCACTCCGTGGGTCCCGCAATCCTGARGGATGTGTCACCCACGCCTTTGGGCTAATCTCCTAGTGTTTATTCTTGCTGTCACAACACCTCCTTGTGTCCTCATTCAATCTGAGAAATAGATGCTCCCGGTGACAGCACAGAGACGGGCCAAGAGCAGAGCACAAGGATGGCTCCAGGATCCCACGCCGTGTGGGCAGCTCACGGTGCGTCAGCGGTCGCTGGAGAAGGGAGGACATCACCTCCTTCTGGGGACAGGGCCCTTCCAGGGACATACCTCACTTGGGAGTTTGCCTTTTGGGTTTCACTGGGGCTTGGGCATGGATTCGCCTCTCTGCTCAGCTCTGCAGAGGTTCTGTGCCCTCCTGGGCAGCCCCTGGTTCATCTGAGGAGAGAAAACAGCTTTCAGCTCGCTGGGATGGGTCTGAGAAAGGGGCAGTGGCATCACTGGGCTGGCAGCCCCACCATCTGAGCCCTGAAGGGTCACCCTGTGACCTCTGCCTCKGGTGGACACTCAGCCTTCTCTGCTGGTGGTGCAGAGATGTTTTACCATGGCTGGACACCTCTAGCCATGACAATTTCCCTCCTCTGACCCTCTGGGGGGGACCTCAATCACCTTCTAACTCTCTCCAACATTCCATGGCTTAGGCGTTTTGTTGCCTGTTCTTCTTTTCCCTTCAAGAAATTTTTCACCTATGACTCTACTCCCACAAAAGATTTACCTGGAGGCTGGAGCAGACAGGATTTGGTGCACAGTGGCCCATCTCAAGCAGCTCAGGAGAACACTCCAAGGGGAGTTARGGGGAGGCTGGAGCTTTGCTGTGTATAACCCCACTTCCCCTGTGGTTAATCCAAGCCTATTAAGGCTGGACTTGCTGTGGCACGTCTTCAGGGGAGTCGCTGTTTCTGTGTGGCACCAGCATGGCTTGCGTGGTTGTGACAGAACTTTCATTTGCTGACAGATGGAGTWGAAATAAAAATTAAATTTGAGGCAGTAAATTAGGAGGCAGCACCAGGAAAGGTTTGCAGTCAGAGATATCCGGGTGCATTTCCCCTAAAGACAGGAAAAGGCCGACTCTGCCGTCAGAACTTGGCTCAAAACCTTCGCCCAAACAAAAAACAACTCTSGGGGTGAGGAGGCAAATGAAGAAATTCACATGGCACTTACGGGAATATCACTCCATATRGCAGTCATGGAGCAGCTCCAGAAGTTCAGGGCCAAGGAAAAAGACCAATTCAGCTGTGATCTGTTCCACATTTAGTCAATCAAGTTGCTTAAGCACAGATCCATGGCATGAAGGGACTTCTGTGTTAACTGCTGGAGAAACAGGAGGCAACGTCAGAGGAGGATTTTCTTAATGCCTTCCATGACCATCTCTAACCACATCCCTTCCTGAGGTTGCATAAGCGCAGCTTTTGATCAAAATCCGTTCCTTCCTCCCAAAAATAAATGCAAAACAACTTCTAAAAACAAACGTAGCGATGGAGAAAGATCAAGACACTGGTTCTCATCCCAGAAATATTATTCAATTTTACGTAATGAAATGGCAAAGGGATTGACACCAGATTGCAGCGRGGTGAGTCACAAGACCGTGGTGCATCAGGTGGGAAAACTGCAGCATCTGAGGATACAGCGAGTGTAGATCAGAACCACTGAATATTCCAAGCTGGAAGGGGATCCACAAGGATCTTGAGTCCAGCTCCCAGACTGGAGAGACTGCACAGCAAAAGCTCAGCTGGGAGTGGCTCTGCTTAGTGTTATGAACTTGTTTTATGAAATCAGATTGATTTACTCAAAGGATGATTTATTTACTTAAAAGGTTCTTCTGTCCCCAGAGGGTGCTGGCACTGCCCAGGCTCCCCAGGGAATGGTCCCGGCCCCGAGGCTGCCAGAGCTGCAGGAGCGTTTGGACAACGCTGCCAGGGATGAACAGGGTGGGGTTGTTGGGGGGTCTGGGCAGGGACAGGGGTGGGATTAATGATTTTGTGGTTCCCTCCCAGCTCAGGATATTCTGGGATTCTGTGATACTCAGCTATAAAAAGAGAAAGTAAAATATCCCAAGTAGTTCTAACAGCTTTAATTAACAGCAGTGTGAATGTGACTCTGTGCCAAGMCACCGGACCCACGTGCTGGGCACGGGAAGGTGTAGGAGGATGGAGAGAGCCCGATTTCTCCATCTCCACACGGAATGTTCCCCTTCCAACCCACGGCCGGAGGAATGAGGTCTCTAAAGGTGGGACAGGGGAAGCTCTCCGTGTGTCCCAGGTGCAGACGGAGGATGTGGGGATCTCTGTGCGTGTGGACACAGGTGTGGGGGCACCACCGGGACCGCAGGGGCCTCAGGGTGGGCTCCCGAGGTGTCCTTGCATCAACCCCGGCAGCAAACCCCTGAAGGCTGAAACCCCTCCGAACAGGGAAACCGGGGGTGAGAAAATAACTGACGAGGAGTTCGCTGAAGGGATGTGGAGGCCGTGAGGGGCGGTGGGACAGCAGAACCCCCGCCCAGGGTGGGCAGGGCCCGGCTGGGCCTCAGGGAGGGCAAAGCCGCGTTGCCATGGCGACGGTTCCTCCTCCTTCCCGGCGTGCCCCGCGCCCGGCCTTGACGTCAAACACGGAAGCGTTGCCATGGCGGCGGGCGCGCTCCGGGGGCTCGTGGTCGCGCTGGAGACACACCGGGGCCGC